ATAATATTATTAAATTTTATTTTTTTTATCTGATCGCCAATTAATAGTATTTATTCTTTTCATCTTATTATTGAAATTGCTTTCAGCTATTTATAATATCAAGTAAGCTTCCAAATAAAATTTTAATATTTTGGTTAAACTCTTTAAAAATAATTCTAAATCTTTTATGACCTATTCTTAATTCTTGCATATAAAAATCATTTTTATTATTCCAATCCTTTTAAAATTAAGATTTTTGAAACTAAAACAATGAGAGACCTTTTTCTTCAAATAAGCCTCTTAATATTAAAATTTAATTAAATTATTATTATAATATTTAATTTAAATTAGATTTTGTGCAACACATTCAAGTAATAAACTTCTCAATTATCTCACTTTAGATCAACATCATTGCCATAAGATCTGAATGAACTTAAAATGATTTCATTTAATCTATCAATTAATTATGACAATTCATATATTTTCTAGGTTTTTTCTCTTGATTGTTAGATTTGTTAAATTTCACTAGATCAATCTAAGCAAGATGCATATTATTTAATTTAGTGTTTATTAAACATTCATTCAAGCATAATTCTCTTTAAATTGTTTACAGATTTTAAGGAATCTAATTAGCAGGAATCTATTATATTTTATAAGAGATATCTTTTAAGTATTAACCTAAGATCTTACCATCCTCAGACAATTATCTCTAGTTTATTCAATTTATATTTACTATCAGTTTATTTTTATCAAGCAACTCTTTTTATAATTTTTATTCTTCTTTTTTCATTTACTATTAGGATGATTGAACAGAGTCAGTTAATTATTTTTTCTACTAGGAACTTTCCTTTAAAATACTTTGATTGCTCTTTTATCTAAATTAAATCAATAAATTTTACAATTCATTTAACTTGATCTACAAATCGTTAAACTTGGTCCTTAGTAACTCATAATCATCCTTTGCAGCCCTATAGTGTTCTTAGAATTCATCTTTTTCTCTAAATGCTTAATTAGATGCCTCTATTAATTTTTCATTTTTCTTTATAAGATCCTTGAGCTAATCTTATTGTATATTAAATTACTTCTTGATCTTTAACTGTTAAAGTTTTTTGCAAGATTTACAAATTCAGATCAGATTCAGATATTTAATTATTGAGTAATTTAAGTTCTAATTCTAGACTATTAATCCTAGAGGTTTATTTTGTGATAGTTTGATTTTTTATCTTCAATTCATCAATTTAGAATTAGATCATTTTTTAAGAATTATATGAGGTTTAAGTATAATCAGATTCTAGTTTTTAAGTGCTACTGGATGGTTGAATCATAAACTCACTTTTCTTAATGTTGGATTAAGGTGTTGCGAACATTTCATAATTAGGCAAGGTTAATTTTTCTCCAATTAATTTTTACATCTTATTGATTTATTTACCTAAGGTTTCTATAGAATTTCTATGTTTATTGTTTTTGAGCTCATCTACAGTATTAGACTTTTTTTACGAATGTATAGGTTATTACTCGGTTTAGTTTTAATTAAATGAATAGATTTCTTCAAGAAGTAAATAAATAAGATACTTAAGAAGTAAGAGATCAGTACAACTATAGAAATCAAAGAATTAGTAATCTTAACCAAAATATTTCATTTTGGCTATTGTGGATGTACTAATGTTCTGATCATTCTCTTTAGCAAACTTAAAGTTCATTAATTTATCTTCAACTCTAAGCATAATTTATTAAGAATTCTTATTAATCACAGAGAGCTGAGAATTTTACAATTATTTGACTGAAGTACTGGACTCTTAGTAATAATTTTGTAAATTGCTGCATGATCTATTCTTATCTATCTGTAATTTTTAAATTCCATTTGTGTCATTAGTTAAATAATATGAATCAATCATGCTATTCCTCCTTGTTGGGATCTTGACTTCGCATGTATTCATATGAATATAGGAAGTATTCTTTAAGAGTTTGTTGACATATTAATTGAAGTAATCATCTTTAGAATATAGAGAGGGTTGCATTAATTAATAGCTAAATAAAAGTGAAATA